TTATTATACAGGCAATTTCAATTATAATTCAATAGTAATAAAGTTTTATTAAATGAAAGTGTTTGCTAATTAACTTCTTAGGTAAAAACAAACGATTTATTGACCTATGTAAGAAAAAGTGAATTGATAAGTCAAATAAAAATATGTACATACAGTATCGGTCATATCTATAGCACGCCATTTCAAAGTGATATTGTGTGCAACTTATGTTTATTTATTTATTTTTGAGAATTTTCAATTAAAATACAGTTCTTTCTCTAACAAACCCCATATAAATCCAAGTTTAACAATTTGTAGAAAACTTCAAAAAAGTGCAACAAATTTTCACATAAATTTCAAACTTTTTCCTCAGATTTTCTTTTCCACAAGAAATGTGGCCTTCTCATTGCCCTTTCCTTAGTATTTGTGCGTAGAGGGAACTGAGAAGGCTAATAGATTTTGATCATGCGTTATGTACAAGAAAGCGCGCAACACCCTCAAAAAAAAAAAATTCTAAAATATTCACGTCAAATTTTAGAGACTAGAAACTTGCACTTTGTACTAATTGAATTGGCTACAAAACTGCATATTCGAAAATTTTCTAGAAATTCTGAATAAAAATTTTGAGATTATGATGAACATTTTTTGAATTGTTCTGAGCTTTATATAAAGTGTGAAAGTTTGATGAATGTATAATATATATGCATTGTATATGGTTTATGTTATAAAATGACCTATAAATATTTTCATAAATAATTAATGCAAAAAAGTGTTCATGAAAATAATTGTGAATATTATGTTACAACAAGGTGTGCACTTTAATTTGTCGCCTAGTGTAAATACATATGTATTAGGGTGGTTCTTAAAAATTCACCATCTAACTTTTGTATTGTGACCCCTTTCATTCTGTTCTACGTACAAAAAAAAAATACATTCACCAAAAATTTCAAAATTTTAAGCAAGTTTTTTGCGATCGCTATCAGGGTCTGACAATTAATTAAAACAAAAAAAGCAAAAGTTTGACAAAAGTTTGCCTTGAAATCTGATTGAAATATTATTAAAACTTATTCATATGAATTCATCAAGTCCAGCGTAATGTTTGAATTTCTCTTGATGGAGGTTGCTTCGATAATTATACTAGTTTGTCTATATCTGCCCGAGCTTATTTACAGTCTCCATAATATGTAGTTGAATAGCCAGTAATTGAAAAGAGTAGCTTAAGTAGGGTTTTTTACTTTTGTTGATTGGAGTTCAGAAGGCTTAATCCTCACTGCTCTCTACTTGGAATCTTGGGTATGGGGCCATTCAAGTATTATGTAAGCGTAGTTATAGTAAATTTGAACCCATTCCTGCCCTTGCCAGGAAAACTAAGCCAGACCTGTTAAATAATGATTACACAGGCCAACAAAAATGGAAAACAATCGGTGCGACAAATGTTAACATTGTTTTTGATATACTTTTTTGTGCTGATTACGAATCCGCAAGTATAAATTTTCCATCAGCTCCAGATTTTTAAGGGAAAAAAGGTCAAAGTGTAAAACAAAGCGCGTTTCTGCAAGCAGGGGTGTCTGTCTTGGAACAAGCGGCTCGCTATATAAACGTGTATTTGTTTGCGAAACCACCCCCATCCCACCAATGGGTTGTGCGCTGGGTTTGGGATCCGCGACGTACAAACCCCTTCCAGTGAAGAAGCGAAGCAATGCCTCGGATGAGACCACTCTTATGATGACGACCACGGCAAACGTTTAAAGGCCTACGATTTGAGGACATGCACCTGGAATGTCCGCACCCTTAAGGGGGAAGGTGCCTTTTCCTGACTGGTTTATGTCCTCCACCAAAGCTGAAATCACCGCCATCCAAGAAATGCATTACATGTATACTACAGCTGCCATGTAAAGTAGCGCAATTTGGGTGTTGGATTTGTGGTGGGAGAGAGACCTCGTCGCCGAGTATTGTCGTTCACTACGGTGGACGAGCCTCCAGCCATAATCTGCATCAAAGCGAGTGGAGCCTTGCGCCCATGCCCCGACAGAAGAGAAGGATGAGGTATACAAGGAGCGCATGTACGATATCAAAATCGTGCTTGGCGACTTCAATGCCAGGGTGGGCAAGGAAGGGATTTTTGGGACCACCGTTGGAATATTCAGCCTCCACGATGAAACGTCTGACAACGGACTGAGGCTGATCGACTTCGCCGGGGCACGAAACATTGTAGTATGCAGAACTAGGTTCAAGCATAAAAAGATTCATCAACCTACGTGGCTGTCTCCGGATCGAGAAACCAAATCGATCATGTTATGATAGGCGAAAGCGCGCTTCCTGTATTTTAGACGTACATACCCCGAGGGCCAAACATCGGCTCGGACCACTTTCTTGTTGGAGTCAAGATACGCACCCGCCTCTATGCAGCAAAAAATGTGCGGCCAATAATGCAAGGAATGCTTAACGTAGAAATGCTGCAATCACAACAGACGGCTAATTTATTAGCCACTCGACTCGCACTTGCTCTCTGAGAGCACTCTTCAACACACCACATTTCCCGCTCATTATGAAGCGCCGCCAAAGAAATAGACAGAAAGAACTATTGGTACGATGAGGAATGTCAGGAAGCTGCAGAGAAAAAAGATGCCGCCTACAGGGCCACGGTGCGAACGGGGCACAACGCGAGCCATGTGGAACCGTTATATGAAACCGGAGAGCGAAGCAAGAGGTATTTTCCGCAATAAAGGGGGAGAGGCCGAAATACGTGAGTACGAAGAGCTTTAAATGCCAGCCCAAAGGAAAAACAACAGAAAATTTTACCAGAGAGTTATGGTCTGATTACGCATACTTCGCATAACTTCGCACAACTTCGCATAAACTTCAAACTGTAATTTTGTATGTACTTTGTATGTATTCCATAACCCAGAAATTAGCAGAACTTTTAAAAACTGAGTGATCTGTTGAGTTTAGATTTTGTTTCACATTTAAGTTACACTTTTAGTGCACTGGTACAAATGGTTGTGCGAAGTTATGCGAAGTATGCATAATCAGACCCTAAGGCGAATTACGGAAGGTTTCAAGACCAGGGCGTACTTCTGTGAGAACAACAAAGGCGACCTAGTTACCGATGTTCAGAACGTACTTAAATTTATGAGGGAACACTTTTCCATCCTACTGAATGGTAGCAGCACGAAAGGTTGTAGAGAAGAAGAACCCTACAAGGTCTTGTCGAGCGTATTGTGTGAAAGACCACCGTCAATGAACAGATTGGGTCTTATCAGTGTGAAAAATCCACCATACACCAGGTATTCATAATACGCCAAATCTTGGAAAAGACCCGCGAGAAAAGGATCGACACTGACCACCTATTTGTCGACTTTAAAGCCGCTTTGGACAGCACTAAAAGAAGTTTCCTATACGCCGCTATGTCTGAATTTGGCATCGCCCCAAACTGATACGGCTGTGTAAAATGACGTTGAGCAATACCACCAGCTCCGTCAGAATTGGAAAAGACCGCTCCGAGCCGTTCGCCACCAAACGGGCTTCAGACGGGGCGACTCCCGTTCATGTGACTTCTTTGATCTGGTGTTGGAGAAGATAATAAGAGCTGTAGAACTGAGCCGCTCAGGAACAATTTACTACAAGAGCGTGCAATCGCTGCCTTATGCCGATGGCATCGACATCATCGGTAACAAGAACTGCGAAGTCTGTTCTGCCTTCTCCAAGTTGGATAAGGAAGCAAAGCGAATGGGTCTGGTGGTAAACGAGGGCAAGACGGAGTATCTCCTGTCATCAAACAAACAGGCAGCACATTCGCGCCTTGGCACCCACTCCACTGTTGACAGCTATAATTTCGAGAAAGTAGAGAGTTTCGTTGATTTGGGAACCAGCATTAACACCGATAATAACGTCAGCATTGAAATCCAACGCAGAATCACTCTTGCCAACAAGTTGTACTTTGAACTGAGTAGGCAAATGAGGGTTAAAGTCCTCTCTCAACGTACGAGTATTCAAACGAAAGATTTGTACCGTAGACGGTTGAACGATGACATAGGGCAGCGAATTAAAATACAGTGGCTCCGCTGGCTTGGCCATGTCGTTCGAATGGACACCGACGTCCCAGCTCTGAAAGTATTCAACTCTGAACCCGCTGGTGGTAGCAGAGGAAGAGGGAGGCCCCCACTGCGATGGAAAGACCAGGTCGAGAAGGACTTGGCTTCACTTGGCATTTTCAATTGGCGTCAGTTGGCACAGAAAAGAAAAAAGAAGCGACTGGCGTGCTTGGCTGAACTCGGCCAAAATCGCTTAGGCGGTTGCAGCGCCAAATAGGAAGAAGAAGATTGAACTGCTTTCACGGCTCTTACGGGCAAAACCACGTAGAGATGGCGATCGGGAACGTTTTTTCGTAAAGCAAGTTCAAGGCGATTTACTGATTCAATCCGGTATCTGTTCGAATGCTAACTGGTTGAATCGCCTTTCAAATGTTTTCCCTAAAAACCTTTAAGATATCGATATTAACCGCCACCGGAATGTCCTAAAAACATAAATCGTCACTTTCTTCGTAAATTCCAGTAGCCACTGTATATATTTTACTTTCTCTTTTTCTCCGCAGCTAAGAGTCTATAACAGTTTTGAGCAAAAGAATATTTGCCCAACGTTCGGTAATTTTCGGCTAAAAGCGAACCGAAACTTTGTGCTCGTACATGGCTGAAGCTTAAAATCGTTCGATCCTTAAAGATAACTGATGGTCTGGATGCATCCGAGGGCTAGAGAAATTTTATTTATTCCTGTAGGCTTATACATATGTATGTATGTATGCATATCCCATCGAAACATTGAATATTATTTTTTAAAGAACAGCTGCAACAGCTGTACGTCCGCTCAATTATACAGAGAATATGGTTACACCTAAACATTAAACATTTTCATAAATGCCGTTAAGACTTGTGAAAATATTATTAACATATTAACTTTACAATAGCCACTCACAGTGAGAAAATTAACGATTTGGTAAATACTTTTTTTAATTTCATTTCAGGCAAAAGTGAACATTAACAAGTGGAAAGATCAACTGACCGACCGACCAATCGACGGCACGTCAAGATATCCAAACACATACATACATAAGTACATACATACCTAGGCCAAAAGGCATACATGGCCAGCAGACGCATTTGGCCGTTCTACGAGCGTTTGACAGCTTAAAAGTGCATACACGTGCACATAAATACACATACACACACACACACACACACACAAACGCGCGTATAAGCTCATACAGATTTGGTATGCTCCACGTATTGGCGGCGGCGGCGGCGGCAGGCGACAAATTCGGTTTCGGTATTTCGGCCTTTTGGTTGCATTCGCGGTGCAGTGTTGTTACGAACTTGTTTTAACTGGGATTTTTTCGTACCACGCTACATATATCTTCTTTTATTTGTATTATTTTTGTTGTTTTTACTCGCTATTTTCTTTGCCGTCAGTTAATTTGAACAGCTTTGGCTTCTTGTGAGTGCCTGCCGTGTGTGTGTTTCTTTTGTTTTTTTTTTATTGTGCCTCGCGACCGCGACAAGTCCGTAAATTATGTACATTAGCAGTCTTATAGCTGTGTGCATTTGTGTGGTTGCAGAGTTGGGATTAGCTGCAAATGTACCTGCCAGGCGTGAACGACATGAACTGACGGTAAGTGAAATACATTCTTCAAATATAAATTTCTGATAGCGCTATACATTGTATGTATGTATGTGCATTAAGCATTTGACTTGTTTTAAATTAAATATACCTATGAGGAGAGGATGAAGAATGAGAAAAAGACCTATAGAAATATTGTTTTTTTTTCCAAAATTTGTTAAAAAGTTTCCGCAGGGAACTCCGAAAAAATTGTACTTCAGAGTGAATTTGCCAATATGATTTCAAAGCGAGTTTGATTGAAATTCACTCGAAAGTGAATTGCAGAACCTGCTTGATTATGATTGCGATCAAAAATGGATTTCTAAAATTTATTTGAAAATGCGTTGGTTTTTTAATAAATGTTTTAACTGACATTGTTGTGAATTTTCTTACATATAAAGTATGCTCGACACTTACTTTTATATAGAAAAAATGCCTAACACAGTCAGCAAAAAAATACTAAAAATCAACGCGATTTTCTAGCGACTTGAATTTTTCTAAAAATTCTGAATAAAAAGTTCATAAATTTTGGGTGTAATTGTTAAAGCTTGTTGAGTTTTTATAATTTTTTGTACGATTGGTTTGAAATGTGGACTTATGTGGCACTGGTTATGTATGTATATGGAATAAAAAAATTTGCAAACCTATTTATTTTTGATCGCATTCATAATTTGGCTGACATGGAATTTTCCACATACATATGTATGTATGTATATGTACATACGTCCCCTCCCCCTCATTACCAATTTTTTCTCTTTTTTACTTAATTTAAGAGTATTCACACCTCCCTGGTTATCAGGTTATTTTTTTTTTGGGTTTTCATCATTACTCATTCTCTCCGTATGTATTTTTAATTAAAAAAATAAAAAAAGAAGTCGTATGCCTAATGTACTTACATACACAAATCGATATTCAATCTTCCGCGACACTTGGCAAATTGCATATGGATGTATAATGTGTATATATTTAGTTATGGATTTAATTACATATGTACACATGTATATACCCTACAAAAGCTGTGACTTCGGAATTAGGCGCAAAGGACCCTGCGGTTAATTGCACTTTTGATCCCTTTATATGAACGGAAATTATCATTGAATGACCATTTGCTCCCGTTAAGTGATAAGTAGATGCCTAGCTAAGTAATAGCCAATTGTACCATTTAAGGTATTAATTGGGACTAATCAATGCCGAATTGTACCCTATGGAGACTAATAAGGGTGTACTCTATTTAAGCTTAGTATCTAGCTCTCAAGAAAAGTAAAAATTTTCTGTGTAAAATTTCCTTACTTTCCGCTTTCTACTACGGTTTTCCAACGTTTTTTTTTTT